ATTTTTAAATAAGACAATTTAAAACAAAGTTAAATTTGCGGTTCTACCCATCCGTTAGGAAAAAGAAGGAAAAAAACCGTTACCAAACTGTTTTAGTATTCCGGTTATTTCCCGGTAAAAACCGAAATACCGCTAAGAGACAAAGCAGTTTGGTAGTACGTTTAATAAATAATCGATTGCCGGTAAACGCTTACCGTCGTGTGAAAATACATAATTATTTCAAGAACCTTTTTTAAGTATTTACTTGCACCAATTTCCAGCGGTACCCCTTATACTTAATCAAGTATAAGCAGGATTGCTTAAAATAAGCTAAAGGCGAATCATAAACAGATAAAAGAGTGAAAATATTTAAACTTTAAACCATACATACATACATACATATGTGGAAATAAAACTTCACATACATCTTATACTTACATATATCCGCGATATAGTTATATAACGTACAAAGAGCATAACTTACTCTTTTATACATATCACGATCTAAAAACATTTAAGAGAAAACTCTACCCACGGTAAAGAATTTACCCCGGTTACAATTTAAACAAAATAACCATTTTTAAATTAAATCGTCAAAAATTTAATACTGATGGCAGCATCAGTAAGCTTTTAAGCGGCGGAAAATTTGTATAATAATAATATCAAGAATTTGTACAATCGTGTATCGTCACATATGTAAATACGCATGTTATTTCAAAGTCCACATTGTCATATATCCCGCAATACCCCTTGGTTTTTGATTATCAAAAACAAGCAGGATTGCGTATACATACTTATATTCAAAGACCACATTGGCATATACCCCACGATACCCCTTGGTTTTTGATCAATAAAAATAAGCAGGATTGTGTAAAACATAATATAGCGTAATACATATGTACGTACATGCATATGTACAAAGTGCAGTGATCTCTAAAACGAGCTCTCATTTGCACATAACAAAATAAAAGAACCATAAATATATGTATATACGTACATATACAAATATACTATATACAAAAATTATTTGGGTTTGCGGTTAAAAACAAATAATTAAATAAAATTAAATTGAAATTTAATTACATAATACGAAAGAAAAATAAAACAACTCTTATTTAACTTAAAACAGTGTTCGGTTACGCAAAGCACGATTATACGTGGCAATTAAAAACGTTTTTGATTTTTAATTTAATTCAAAACTCTTATTCACGTAAAAGAGTTCTCGTCTGAACATATATGTATATACGAAATCTGTGGTGAAATTAAATTCAATAATTTCAGCATATAAAAAATATATATATACATATCTGTTTTATCGATTTTCTTAGAATCTCTTACTTACAGAAGAGGCTTCTTTTCGACATATCACATATACTTACATATACGAAACTGTATAATACCAATCAAGTTTTATTGAACATTTTGTTTTGTTTTTTTATTTGTTCGTCACATTTTTAAATGAGCTCTGACTCAAAAGACTCTAAACCAAGTCAGTTCCGAAAAGTCCCAAAGATGATTTCTGACGAAAAAAGTCCATGTACACCTGCAGAAGCTACACGCTCGAAGCAAGGTGCTACGAAACACAAAAGGGGGGAAGATATATCATACTCTAAATTCATTTCTGAGAGTGACTGTCTAATAAAATACTGCAATCAATTTGCATCTTCGCCGATTCAAGACAATTCCGAATCGCCGCTAGAAATAAAAGGCTGGAAATGTCTCCAGGCTGCATATGACGCAATTGTAGATACTGACGATTCAGATCTACCAGAAAACTTTAAATCTTCTGCTTCTGTTCAAGTATTACGAAACGCAATTTTTGAAGATTTTTTTACACCCCCCTCCCCCCTCGTAATGGACCGTAACGTTTTTCTGTACCCCCCTCCCTTCCTTTATACGTTACGTAACAATAAATTTTTATACTTTGCCGTAAAGTCGCAATTCTATATAAATTTTTGCTTTACACACAGTGGTTTCTCTTTCATTCATTCATTCCTTCATTGTTTTTTTACTAATAAACGTTTAAATAAAAGAACATATTTATTTTAACCTTTGTCAATGCAATTATTTTGTATATATGTAGAAACCCAACTGAAATTAAACATTATAATCGAAATGAAATCATATTCTTAACAAAATTAAAAAATAATCAATTGTGAACCAAGTATCTAAGCAGGTCTATTAAAAACAATTCAATTAAAAATACTGCTCCTCTGTCCACGGGTTTGCTAGCCACTCAGATTCTTTCATCACTGGCATCTGGAGTGCAGACAAGGACGGTTCTGGAATTGTTAAACCAATTACATCAACTTCATCTTCATCGAGCCAGTCAGCATCCTCAGACGATGTTTCATAACTACGCACAATGCAGAGAAACTCATTTGCCCTTCTGGCAGCAAGGCGCTGCGGCCGTACTCTAGTTTCACAATTGTCTTAGTCAGTCTTGCCATGCACGTAACGACAGTGCATTTCAACACTCTTGTGAGATGTGAAATAGATCCCACAGGTTGGACATACTTTTTTCTTTAGGTCGGATTGTACAGATGGACAAAAGAAGTCGTAAGGCATCTGCTTAAACCCTTCTAGAGGAGGTGACAGATCAAGTAACAACCTCACAAGAAGTGGTGAAAACTTGGATGTTCCCTTGTCTAGCAAACTGGGTACTACGAGCTTGCTTGGGGTTTGAAGTATTGGGCAAGGTGGCGGCATGAAAGTATCCGTAAACAAAGATTTCAATGCACTTCTCGGTGGCGAACAGCAGGATTCATCCGCGCATTTTATAACCTGTAAGAAATATTGCGATTCACGGACGTGAACGCTATACCACGCCAGATTTGGTTCTGCTGGATCCTGCATGCTATCTTCGGGCTGTCTATACTCCGCCGAAACGTCGTAATTGTCAATTTTCATTTCTCTCCACACTTCTGCAAGTGTTTCTCCAGCGTGCTGAAAATTGCATTTTTCTAAATCAACATCCGTAGTAATTCCTTTGTTGTCGAGATGAGAACCAAAATGTTCATGAGGCAGAATGACCCCTGCCAGTCGTTTGCTGAGGGGAGCCATGCGACGCCCAACTCGGTTATATGCGCTCCGCCCAGGAGCAGTAGTCGCTATAAACAGGGCGTCCAAGTTGTATTTTCTAAAATGTTCAATCGCAAAGTTTTTGACTTTGCGATAACGCGGGCTTTCGTCGGGCCCACCATCTACAAAGATTATGATCACTGGCTTCACGGTGTTCGATTCTGTCATCATTAAGGGTTTGAATGAAGGTTTTGATAAAAGTGATTCGAAATCATAAGCATGGGTGTTCGCTGTGGAGGATGCATGTTTCCCGCTTCTTATGGATATGTATGTCGGCCCGCTGTACCCAACAGCTTCTTCCTTACCGAAATTGTTTGGTTCCACGTTGACGCCGGCATATACAGAAGGAATAAGTTTGTGCCTCTCTGCCACGACCCAGTCATGATCAGGTAAAAGTATTCTGTATTCCATATGCATTAAAAGAGGGCTCTGACTTTTCACTGCTGGTAAACCTATTGGTACACGTGCCTTATCATCTTGTGAGAGAACGAATACTTGCTACGGTCCCAGAAGCGACGCGAGAGATTCCAATGACCTGATTGTGGCAGTGCAAAATTCCCCATCCTCGTGCTTTTTGTGCATCTCGGTCTGTGGTCTTGCTAACTTTACGGGTACGGTACGTACGTGCCTTCTTCCCTCTTGAGTGTTAGAAACGCGTGGGAGTAAATGAAGATATGTGCCGCTTCGAGAAATTTTKAATCCCATTAAMAACAGCCCYTTATGCAGGTCGGACAGAGTGAGACAACTCCTAATCATCTCTGTTCGGCGGCGTTCATCAGCAGCGCTGCCATGAATGGCAATATTAATTATGGTCTCTAGGAGAGCAGGTTGCGAGTCAACTAAAGGGGGCTGTCCAGAGCTAGTTCGAGGTTGTGCTGCAGGATAGCTATTCCAGTGTCCCTTGCTTCAGTAAGAACATTTATTCTCTGTTGCAGTAGACTAATTTTTTTCATAAGAGTATCTTGAGCCGGTTTGCTTGTAACATTTTTAGTGAAGCCCGCATCAATCAAAGTCGTATGTGGTTCCGTAGACGGTGTCTGCACAATTTCCTTATCAGTAATCTTACTTTGTTCATCGTGGGTATCGCTCATCTGTCCTTTAACGGCAGTGCTTTTATGTCCAGTGACTGCGACAATCGATTCCATATGAGATGAAGCTACAACATCCGAATCCTATAGTAATCAAGACGTTAACATTAGACACATGCGATAAAAAGGAACATAATATACAAGCAGATGCACCTGTTTTTGTTGAAGAGCAAGTGAAGTCGAGGGAACATTGGGCCTAAGCGTGCCTGGGCGTGGTGCTGGCGTGCTTGAAGTTTCCATAGGTAGCTAGAAATAAATAATACTTATGAACTTATGACCAGTTTTTGAAAAATCAAGATTTGTATTACATATTATAATATTTGTCATAATTACGTTTTCTAAGTAAACTTACCTGTGTAAAAAAACTAAGCATTGTTGCTTCCTTCTTCGTGGCCTTCTCCTTCAACTGTCGTATAATATCATTTATATGTTCTATAAACTTTTCTTTATTTTTTAGTTTTTCTTTAGCCATTTTGTAAATATCGTTGGCATTTTTTTGACACAGTTGCGCTGGCAAGTTAGTATTAGAGCCTTTATAGGCCAAGAACAGCTGATGATACAAAACTCCCTCTTTTGAAGACATTACAGTATTCGAACACTAAAATTCACTTTAATAACACCGACTACAGCAATTAGCTTCTGCATAAACACTAATGAATACTGACAACAATAACCACATTAAATTACGTACAATACAATCTAGTGATTCCCCGTAAAACGTAAACGAAAAGGGTTGCCATCTTGTGAGTTTTAATTCGCTATTTTATTATTTAGCAAAAGAAACAATGTTACGTAACGTGTTGTAAGGAAGATCCCCTCCCGGCCCTGTAATGCATCGTAACGTTTTACGAGACCCCCCTCCCCCCAAAATTGCGTTACGTAATACTTGAACGCTCCCTTATGTCAAATTTGAAAACTGCTTAGACCAGTAAGAAGACACAAAAATTATGATTGCAGATCAGCTCAAATTAATTAAAGCAATTGCACCTACTCCACTTCCGCGAGTAGAGATGCCACAAGTACAAAGTCAAGAGGCAAGTTCAGGCATCCACCTCAAGGTGGATAACACAGAAATTTTTCACGGGGGTTATGAACAATGGCCGTCGTTCCGGGACATGTTCGCCGCCGTTTACATAAACCACCCTAAATTATCTAATGCACAAAAATTGTATCACCTCCGATACAAAACGAAAAGCAAGCTGGCGTCATAGTAAAACAGTTCGCATTAAATGGCGACAATTTTAATATGGCTTGGGAAGCTTTAGAATCCAGATACGAGAATGAACGAATATTGGTCGATAAGCAAATAACAATCTTAATGAACTTGCCAAAAATTAAACGGGAAACCAGTGAAGAATTTATCAAACTTCAATCCACTGTTTCCAATTGTTTGTCGCACAAAATTGTCTGTTGGCACAAAACAGGCTACAGTTGCCAATAAAACTGGCAAATGTCGAAATTACGGGAATGGGCGGAAGAGTTGTTTAAAACTTAAATAAAATCTGCACCATTACCCTCTTTTCCCCCCAAGTGGACAAGCGCATACAAGCAGAAGCTATTGTCATACCGCAATTAATCAATATGTTACCCAGCTATCATATAAATAGGAAGCATTGGCAAAAGGTTTCACACCTAAAGCTAGCAGACCCAAACTGCAACACCCCCGCTTAAATAGATCTTCTATTAGGCAGCGGTCTCATACCACAAATAATACTCGAAGGTATTGAGAAATTCACAAATACACTACCGGCGCAATATACCATTTTCGGATGGGTCCTAAGTGGACTAGTTGTGGACCCAGCTACAGCATTGACAACTCAAGTTGAGGAAGTCTCAAACGAGTACCTCAATTCACAATTGAAAAAATTTTGGGAATTAGAAGAACTCCCCCCATATCAGTCACAACACCAAAAGATCAGTATTGTGAAGACTTTTACAAAACCACAACTACTAGATCAGATAATGGTCGGTATGTCGTATGACTACCACTAAAACAACAATTTCCCAACACAATCGCCTTAGGTCACTCTCGCACCTCTGCAATACAATAGTTTCTAAGTATGGAAAAAAACCTACTTAGGAAATGTGAGCTGAAACAAGATTATGATGGTGTCTTCGAAAAATACCTTCATTTAGATCATATGGAGGAAGTAAGGCCATGTGAAAAAATCACAAAAGACAAATATTATTCATTCTACTTGCCACATCATGCAGTAGTAAAGCCTGACAAACAAAATCAGAGTTGTCTTTAATGCCTCAAGAACCACTAGCTCGGGGAATTCCCTAAAATTTACGGGACCCACACTCCAACCAGATTTAAGGCGCTTCATTTTAAATTGGCGTATATACAAATGCGTATTCAGTGGGGATGTCGAAAAAATGTATCGGCAAATAATCGTACATAAAGATGATCACGATTTTCAGCGAATTATTTTCCGGTCTACTAAGCGACTTTAAGCTAAAAACAGTTACCTTTGGCGTAAACTGTGCCCCATACATAGCCATTCGAACACGCCACGAACTGGCAAAAGACACAAAGTCAGAATTTCCTCTGGCAACACAAGTGTTAAAAACAAAAACGTATGTGGACGATATTCTGTCTGGAAGCCACATTCTTCCACAAGCATACGAGTCACTAGCACAAGTGACACAAGCTCTCAAAACAGCAGGGTTTCCGCTAGAAAAGGCTAAACACTACTGAGTCAATATCAGCACTATCCGCCATAACAAAGAGTCAAATTTTATCCTCGGTGGCAAAACTTTTCGACCCCGCAGAATGGCTTTCGCCAATTATGATACAAGCGAAAATCCTGATTCAAGAATTATGGCTAGACGGAACAGACTGGGGCGAACAAGTGAAACCACTTCGTTTAGATAAGTAGTCCCAGTTCGCAGGAAATCTCACAGATACAAATCCCACGGTGGGTAAACTATTCCCCCGAACGCAAAGTCGAATTATATGGCTTCTGTGACACCCCTGAGAAGGCATACTGTGCCACTATCTATGTGCGCACACAAAGCGATAACGTGACCACAAGCCACTTATTAGTAGCTAAGGCTAAGATGGTTCCTCCAAAAACGCTAAGTCTACCTCGACTTGAGCTCTGTGGCGCCCTACTACTCGCAAAATTGGTTTCCATGGTGCAGACCCACTTAAACATGAAGAAATACAGATTGCATCTCTGGACCGATTCTGAAATAGTTCTAGCCTGGGGTCGAATCGTTACATCCGTGCACGGAACGGCAAACATACGAAAGAAAATTACGTGATACGGCAATCGTATGCGATGATTGGCATTATGACATACGATAGCAAACGTATCGTAATGTCTTTTCAATTCACAATAGTTTTTAAATTTCACATTGCTCTGGATCGTATTTTTAGGTCACAATAGCTGTGGAACTGTCAAAACTGTTGCAAAATATTCAATCAATTTGTTAGTTTAAATATCAAATGGTTGAATATCAAGATGATGGACTTTGTTTCTTTTTATTTGAGCTATAGTGAGAGTGATGGGGATGAAAAAATAGTGCGGAGGCAACTAAGAGATCGGAGCAATGCTTTGGCACTGCCGAATACAGCGTAGGTATATAAAAAATAAATCATGAAACCTCATTGATGAAGTTTTCTTTGCAGATTTTTAAAACGATTTCGTCTAACTAAATAGGCTTTTGAATATGTCCTAAATAGTATATGTTTAACGCAATCTGACGTCAGAGCAGTGCCTCCAGTGCTACAATTAGCAACCACGCTCTCGCATTTGGCTAGTGGTGGATACCAGCACAGTGTAGGCAGTGACTATTTGATTGGGATTTGTCAAAGCACTGTTTCGAAGCTGACATTACATGTGCTTAAAGAAATGGAAGCGAAGTTGTGCCCGCAGTTTATACGGTTTACACCAGAGGATTCCCTTACGTGTAAGGAGTGGTTTGTGCAGCAACATAAAATTCCTGGAGGTAAATATACATTTCACAACTAAAATATTTATATTAATAAATATAAAGAATTTTTAGTTATTTGGTGCGTTGATGGTACCCACAGTGAACGAGCACATGTACTCCAATAGAAAAGGCTACCATAGTATCAATGCTTCAATATATGTATGTACATATATGTATATTTGTTAAATTTTGTGGTGTCAGATATGTGATCATACTTACAAAATTTTGGCAATTAACTGTCAATACGGTGGTGCAGCCCACGACCCATTTGTTTGGAAACACTCGGACCAGAGAAGAGTTTTGGAAGAACGATYTCAGCACAACAGGAATGAAAATTCATAGCTTTTAGGTACATATATCTTCATTTTGTTCTTTTTACCACATCGATTTTATTTATATTTTAACAGGGGATTCTGGCTACCCATTGGAACCATGGTGCATAACTCCTTACAGAAACGCTTCGAATGATACAAGTGAAGCTATGTTTAATGAAATTCATTCCAAGGCAAGATGTATCGTCGAACGAACTATCGGAATTTTAAAAGGACGCTGGAGAATTTTAGGATATGGCAGGAGAGGAAGGTATCATCCGACAAAAGTGGCAAGATTTGCTAACGTTTGTGCAGCATTACACAACATCTACATAAAATTTAAAATAAATTATGATCGTCAGAATTGCGATTCTGACCAAACAACGGATATCGACACCGGGGTGGCGAACCGCCTCTATGTCGTTACCCTTGTAAATTTCCTTCTAAACCGAAATACAAAAATTTTGTTCATGTAAATTCATTATTTTTTTTTTATTAGTCCTTTCATCACGCTTGTTGCTTTTATCACCTTTCTAATATTTTACATAAATAATATTCAAAAAAAAAAAAAAATTTCGGCCGATAGCCCATGATGCTAGTGCTGCGTATTTTCTTAGTTTGTATAATAATTGTATTATTATGTAAGCTTTTATAAAAAAAAAAAAAAAAAAAAATATTCAAAAATAAAAAAGCTCTATTAAATTAAAAAAATTCATTAAATGCTAAGCTAAAAATTCATTAAGTGCTTATATTTACATTCATGTACCAAATTTTAAAATAAATTTCTTCGTAAGGTTTCGAGCTCCAATTTTTTTATTTCGTGGTCTAATTCCCGTGTCGCCAGTTGGATGCGGTGCTTTTCCATCTTCACAGCAACCATTTTTTCCTTGTGCTGCTACTAACCTCTCTAGCTTCTGCTCTATGTCTTTTTGAAAAGCTGAGAGCGACCTAACTCCAACTTTTCGTGACTCCTACGTTTACTTCTCGGTGTGCGGGGAGTTTTTTCTGTTGACGTTGTTGTTGTTGTAGCGAGTAGTGACTGTCTAGAAGTTGTTGGGCCTGGTAAGGAGCTGGGGAAAGGGTTTGTTTCCTCATCACTGCTATCACAGTTAACGATAAAGCTTGCGTAGTTGGGTTATTTCCAAGTGCAGAAACATATTTCCAAGTGCAGAAACATTTGTTACGCCCTCTACGCAAGCTTCGAGTCCAGCTGCTTCGATTAACAATTCGTCCGTCGCAGTGCTCAGTTTTTCGTTATAGGGCCCTCCTCCAGTTCGCTGCTTTCGATGCTTTATTGAAGTAAAGCTTCTTTTTTGCTTGGTATTTTTGATCAGAAAAAACCTAAAAAAATCATACAAAATTAATATTTTATCAAAGTATATTGTATATAAATTACATACATACCTTCCTCCAAAACTTAGCATCTTTAACTGGTAGCCCCATGGCATTAAGCTGCTTCGCATAATTTATTGGAAGCAATCTTGCTTTCGCAGAGTTTGGAAAGTTATTTTTTGCCAAGCATGGATGACTTGACATGAATTCCGCCATTACATCTGTACTACTGATTAGCGAACTCACCCTTTGTTTTCGAAACTCACTTGACCGTTTTGGTTAGAAAAGAAATAACGC